TATCTAGGGTTGTTTTTTTGTTTTGTTTTTTAAAGATCAGATAGATTTTGAAATATGTCCTTTGTTAAAAGCATTTAATTTATGAAACTTCCTAAACGAGGAAAACAGAAGTTACTCCCAATACAGGCCTTTTATCTTCCTCCTTCCTTCAACAGATTTGAGAGAGAATAACAAAGAATGGCAATTCATGGGCATTAAGCCTTTTACCACATTTTAACAGAATCATTCCTACAAGGCTTAATGCAAATTAAGACTTTCATTAAGTCTTAATTGTTGTTTTGCTAGTTTAAAAAGTAACAAAGACTACTTAAAAGACCAATCTGAATAATCAAGCTTTATGTAGTAATGGGATCAGTTGGTCCCACTGACACAGCTAAAAATTCTCACTGTTGGAAAGACGAGAGTCCAAGTTTGTATTTTATCGTTTCTTCATGCTTAGAATGTACAAAATGAATGTATGTTTGCATACAAGTAAAAAGACAAAGAAACATTTATATAATTGAAATTATCCAGCCACGTAATATGCAAACTAAGTAATCCTCTGTGCTGGGACAAATACTGCTTTATAGCTACACAACTTCAGTACTTTTTTCTTCATGTCTCATATTTGACATTTTTTTTCTATGTATTTAGAGTCAATTTTGTCTAAATTAATTGGTATATTAAAATGAGCCGTAAAGACAGTGTTTTAAAGAGCAAATGTGTAGACTTTTATTACTGTACAGTAACGTTACATCTACAAGAATGATGATGACAAATGCCACAACCACGACTTGAGTCTTAGTGTCATATTCATCAAGAAAAGCTCTCCCAATTAGAAATCCAACCCATGAGTGAACCTCCCTGCAGCAGTGTAAGCTCTTAACCTAACTGTCTAACACACACTTCTCCAAAAATGAATGTGCACTGCAACAAAACCAGTGCCTGAGCGCTCCAGCCTGCTGATCGAGGCAGGTCCAGGCCACGGTGCCAGAGAGCAGCAGAGCGGCTGGGAGGCAGCACATGTTCTTCATGTTGTTTCTTGCCAGCCCTGCTACATAAGCAGGGCAGACAGCCGGATAAGGAACGCCACAGTGCTGCTAATTCCTCTGTGCTACTTCACGTTAGCCCTCTCACCCACTGCTTTCCTTCCGATCACCTCCTCTCTTTGAAGCTTCCTTCCTTGCTGCTACTTGCTTCTTCCAGCATGAGTCCTCCTCGCACTTTTCTGTGGAATCTCTTAAACTGATCATCAATTACTGTTGAAGTATTGTAATTTGTGTTTCAGAGGAGATGGTAGAAAGCAAAGGAGCCACAGTGAGTACGGGACAGCCATTTCTAGCTGACTGCAAGCTCTGGCAAACATCAATTTACATTAAGTGCGGATTTCACAATCAGGCTTGAAATGCCTATTGTAAACAAACAGCTCCTTGAGCAGTAATGAAGCCTGTGTACGTACACCTACCTCAGAGTTAACTATAAGCTGCAATTAAGGGTTTTATAAAGCCTCTCCACCATGACATCTGAGGCAGGCTGCACTGCGGCCTTCCCTCAGCGGGGCGCTGGCAGGGGCTGTTCCCCTAAGCAGCCTTTCCCCACATGCGTGTACGAGCTCAGGTATCTCTGAGACCTCTTCTTCCTTGTCAAACGGGACTGAAATGGGCGCGAGGGTACTGGTGGGATAAGAAGGCAGGCAGGCAAAGGGCAACAGCCAGGCATTCACTGTGATTCCCCTTACTGCTTTCATAAACAAACCTATAAACAAGAATTCAGACTGTAAGACATGCGTAAACTCCTCACACAGAGCACACTATTACATTATAAAAGCCAGATTTACTACAAAGTATGTGTTTGATGTCAGTTTTTGAGCTTTTAATTGATTGCTGAAGACAGTCAATGGCCAAGTACACTGACCCTGTAAATAAAATGTTAATCTAGCAGATAGAGAAGGATGGTTTAGACAAATACCTGAAACATTAAGCAAAATCTTTTCGTGTCTAGCACTGCAGTTTACAGATTAGCAGTTTGTAAATTTCATTAAGCTTTTTTAGGTCATGCTAACATAATCAACCAGTTTCTAGAAGAAACACAGAAAAACAAGTACTGCTACTATCCTAACTTCCTTCTCTATGTCTGAGACTGACACCTTTCAAACTGCAAAGGTAACTTCTGTCCTCTCCTTACCAGCCACTAGAAGGCTTGACACCTTCCACCCACTGAGAAGTGCTTGCTGGACTCTAGACAACAAAAGCAAAAGTCAGAAGGACTAGATTCAACCTTTATTTTATGGCGAGTATAGCTCAGGGCACATCTTGCTGCAGTTAACGTGGGTTATTTTACCACTTCCCAGAAATGCATTAAAAACCCAATATAATTCAGTCAGGTAAGACTTTGATTGCAGGTCAACATGTGGATGAGGGTGAAAGGCCAGGTTCTACTTCTACTGTAAAGACATCAAAACCAACAACAAAGCCCACCTTATAACCTCATCCACTTTGCAACAAGACCGGTGACTAAACCAGGAGCAAAGGTGTTTTGCAGTGCTCTTCCACAATCTCCAGCCATGTAATTAAGACTTATTACACCACAAGAGGTGTGATAGAGAGAAGACCAAAGGGGTAGAACAGCAGAAAACAGCACTACGGGAAGAGCTCTGGCATAATTGATATGAACACTGGAGTATAGATAACGAACTAATGAAGGAAAAAAAGTCCCCTTTGTACACAGAACATGCTCCTACAAGATCATCTCTGAAGGCACTGTGGCTAACAGAGTAAAAATCCTGGACATGATCACTCTTCGCTGTATCTACACAACCTGGCAGTGCTGGAAAACCTGGTTTATTACTTTCCAGTATTCAGAGCTTGAACAACAAGGGTAAAATGCATTGAATATTAGTGAGTGAGCGGAAGCGAAACTAATTTGGGTGCAAAAAAAAAAAAAAGAAAGAAGCCATAAAATGTGGGACTGAGATGGAAGAGCTTCTTCAACATCGCTCCAGACTGCAGGTGTACGTATGTGTTAGGCTTGTGTAAGCACCAACTGTCTCCTGGCAAAAATTACCTGTTACTGGTTTTGTACTATCCAAATCCAAGACGGGAAGCAACAGCCTGAGAATTCTTTTAAGAGGCATGGGCAAAGGGCAGGGAAACCTTGTGAGAATTTTCAGAAAGCTGCTGAGAGCCTATCAGACGGTGGGTAGACACAACTAAGAATTGCCAGGAAAAGAAAAGTATTGCTCAGCATTTATATTCCTTTTTGCTTTTGAAAAATTAATGCTTAAGCGTGATTACTATATGACTGAAAATTAAAGGAGTCATTCTGGACAACTCCAAAGTAAATATCAAGCGCTTCTTCTCACTATCTTTACTGAAATATTTATAAGCACAATCCTATATAAATTAGTGCCAAACTCTTACATCCTATTCTAGCTACCACGAGTCTCACTATTAAAGCTTAAGCATCAGAAAGGCGCAGGAAAAATCTTATGCCCACAGTTTATCCACTTCAGTGCACACGATTACGACAGGACACAGAATATCTAATTGACATCAGAATTTCAGCTTCACGGGTATAGACGCTTTAGTTAATCATAACATTCTTAGTTGAAAGCCTTGTTTAGGTATTGACCTGCATGCCAGTGACATATAATTTCTAATAACCACAGATATACAGAATAATCTGTAACTAGCTGCTTGGCCCATCCAGACCTACAACTTCCACACTGTGATAAGCAGAGAAGCATTGTCCCGTACTGGACCTAAATGAGGGGACCAGCACTGAACCCATGCTGACACAACAGGCAGTGGTCAACTGCAGGTAAAAAATGAGTTAGCTACAACTGCACTACAACCAGACTGTCCTAGCTCAAGGATCACTTTGGCTCCTCGACAGTCTTAACCTGAAATATGAGTGCTTCAAAGAATGGAAACTCCTGGTCCTACATTTGGTCCTAGGAAGATCTTGGTGGCAGCTCATGAGCTCGGGAAGTCTGGCCCTAAGAGTCCAAATGAAAAGATGTGATCTCCCAGGTCACCAACACCATTACTCCAGCTGATCAGCACCCACCTGAGCAACCCCACCCCACGGGCTTATGGCCACTCACTCCAAATTCTCAGAGGCCAACTCCGAATTGCCTGTTGGAGACATTAAAGACTCTTTGCTGTAAGATTTATGAAAATCATAAATCAGTTTCCAGTTCTGCACGCATCAGCATTTCCCACTCCTTGACACCATGATACATTACAATCCCCATTCAGCAAATTAACAAATGGGAGGACACACAGAGAGTGTTTTTCCCCTAAGCCATCTCTAGCCCTGTGGAAACACATTTGGGAACAAGGATTTTGATCTGTCCATAGAAGAGTTAGAAAAGAGCCCAGTGCAAGATAAATCTTGACCTGCTGACACATCTCTTCTATGACTTGCAGTGCCTTCTACTTGTTTCCTTCCCCTAAATTCAGCATTCCCTCATCGGGCAGCCTACTGAGCTCCCCACCCCTCGTTACAAAGGAACTCCAGGGGAGCCTCACCACCTCTGCAAGAGAGCCATGAAGAAGCAAGCCTGCTATCGGGACCCGGAGTGATGCCCCAGTGACACCCCAATGTGTGGGATGCCACCACTCCCCCAGGTCCCCAGCACAACACCCACCTGCCAACAGCCTCTCGCAGCCCCACAGCACGATCAAAGTGCTCTGATGGATGGGGACCAGCAGAAGGAAGCCACACAAAGCCACCTGAGGCAGCGTCCCGGGGCTCCCCCATCCCTGTTTTTGGTATGTTTGGGGGGACAAGCTGCTCCCCAAAGGCAGCCCAGCCCCAAACACAGCCCCAATCCCAATCCCAACCCCAAACACTGACCCAATCCCAAACACTGACCCAATCCCAGCCTTAATCCCAGCCCCAATCCCAGTCCCTGTCCCTGTCCCTGTCCCTGTCCCTGTCCCTGTCCCTGTCCCAGCCCAGCCCAGCCCAGCCCAGCCCCAGCCCCAGCCCAGCCCAGCCCCAGCCCCGGCTCTCACCATGGTACAGATGGAGGCGATTTTGGAGACTGTCATTAGGATTTCCATCCGCCCAGCGCCATCTTCTGCCCAATCACAGCTCCGAGCCGAGCCGGGCCGGGCCGGGCCGGGCAGAGGGAGGAGGAGGAGGAGGAGGAAGAGGAGCAGGAGGAGGATGAAGGCAGCGGGGCCGGGCAGCCCGCGTCCCCCCCGCCCGCCGCGGGGACGCGCACGGCCCCAACGGCCCCAACGGCCCCAACAGCGGCCGAGGGCGCGCGGCCGCACACGCACGCGCGCACGCTCGCTCGCGCGGCCCCGCCCCGCCCCGCCGCCGAGCAGGCCACGCCCCCCTCCCTGGCCACGCCCCCTCCCTGCAGCCGCCGGGCACGCATGCGCAGAGGGGGGGAAAGGGGGGCGAGGCGCTTGGGGCCGTCGCCCGCCAAGATGGCGGCGGCGGGCGCGGGGTGGGTGTGAGGGCGTTTGGTGGCTGCTCGCAGCGCTCCAGGCGCTGCAGTTCTTAACGTTTCAACCACCTTTTTTATTTATTTTTTTCATCTGTGCCCATGGGTTTCAATTCTAGGGGTTGCTGGGTGCAATTCTAGGGGTTGCTGTGCGGAATGGGGAGATTTATGTGGAGCCGTGTCACTTTCCCACCCCTTGGGTTCAGCTTCCTTCTCTCTTTTTTTTTTTTTTTTTTTTTTTTTTTTTTGCATTTTTTGGTGATGAAATGTGCCTGCCTCTTGGGTTCTTTCTTTTTTGTTTATTTTTTTCTTTTTCTTTTTTTCTTTTTGGTGGTGAAGTCCACAGCCACATCCTACGTTGCTAAGGCTCCATTTCATTTTATCAGCTGAATTTGCTTTTATTCACTGAGGAACAGACTCGATATAGGGAGGAAATAGGGGGGAAGAGAACTGAGGGGAGTAAGGGCGAGCGAGCAGCTTCCTTAGTGTGGATGCTGAAAAGAAGTGGTTACCTTGTGGCATGGGGAGAATGGAATTAGGCACAAATCCCAGCTAAGCAGCAAAAGCAAACTGAAAATTGAGCTAAGGAAACTCCTCTCTCCTATCAACATCACTATAATTGCAGGTTAACTATGGGGTGATTTCTGCTTCCAAGCAGCAGCTGTTTGTCAGAGCCATTACTAAAGGGTCACTCATGGGATGAGGGGTAGGGATAGTCAAGCACATAAGACAGACATTTGAGATCCTCTTTCCTTTCCTTTTTCTTAATCAGCCTGTAGATTAACAGCTCTTTGCCTTCACTGAATCTGAGGTTTGCCCAGCCTAGCTTCAGACGTCTCCAAAATGAACTTGACCTGTAGAACAGGCATTTATATCAACTGCTTAAGGTGTCTGCTTGGGAACGAGGTGAATCATCTCCTAGATGTGCCTGTTTGTCTGAGGACTACAACGGAAATCTGGATGACTAGTCCAAGATGTTCATATCTGCATTAAGGAGGCCTAAAATTAGCTGTCTCACCCTGGCTTTTTTCACATATGGGAAACATATAGCATATTGGGATGCATTATTATTAATGATACTATTTAATAGAACCTAGATCATAAAGACATCACTGAAAAAAAGATATTTTAATAACTATAAATTTAAATTATGATACATCTGTGATTCCGTGGTTTTCAGAAGTAAACATTTTGTAGCAACTAAATGAATGGAAATAAAGATTAAGTTTTCCTTCATGTGAAACATATTATTTATGTATTTTAAAAGGTTTCTATCTGAGCTATTTATTGCAACCTGAGATATGCTCAAGCATTTCTTTTATATAATAGACATGGTCCAGAAGTGTGTATTTCATAAGTACAGTGTTTGAGAAAATGAATACCTCCTGGATGACTACATTCAGAAACTGTTGCCACAGAAACAATGGGGGAGGACAGCATCAAGGGGATGAGAAATAGAAACAAAAGAAGTGGATTGGCCACCCATGAGCAAAAAGACCAAGGGAAGATACATGTATTTGACCAGCTAGACACGCCAAGCCATCAGATACCCAGCAATTCATCTATTGAAATAGAAAGCTGCAAGATCCATATTTAATAAGACTCTTTTACAGTATTAGGCTCTCTACAAAAGAGAGTCCTGTATAACATGGAGTGGACAAAGTATTCAAAGAAGGACACAAGGATTGTATGGCAGGATGCTGTCTCCCCGGAGCAAGAATGCAAAATGTGATTGCACTACTGCAGAATTCTACAAGATTATCTGGGAGATAATTCAGTTTGCAGCCAATAAAGTGGCACCGAGTGGAACCGTACGGGCTGTAGAAAACTGAATACTGAAACACTGTCACTGCCTATTAAAATGTGAAGAAATTATTGGAGGTTATTGCTTAATTGTCACAATTGGGATTTAAAGTTAAATATTCCATTATTTTGACTGGTTTGGGTAGGGTAGACTTAAGATTGTGTGTGTGTGCATACTTGAGGAGGCAGAGCTTTGAGAAGAGCCACAGAGTTGCTGTAATGTGTGTAGATCAGGATGGTAACTAACCCTGTCTGAGAGGAGATATCAGCTGTATCTTGTATCTCCGGGGAGAGACAAGATCCTCCTGATAAAGTGAGACAAGGGCATCTTTACCGGCCGGCCAGCCAGCCTGGACAGGAGAATTTTCAGCTGGGGACTATGGGAGGGAGGCTGTGACACATGGGGAAGAGAAGAAACGGTGATCACGGGTGGTAAGAAAATGGTGCAGCATGCTGGGAATAAGAGAGACCACAGGAACGATGAAACAGGGTGTGAGGGGCCACCCACCCCAAGGGTATGTGCACAAACGCCTACAGCCTGGGAAACCAGAGCTCTGCAGGGGTGGCATGGTGGGAGTTCAAGATTACCTCATTAGGCAAATTAAGCCTTCTTTAAAGGATTTTTGGAAGTCTCTGATCACAGGCCCCGGGTTTTAGAGGGGATTTCAGCCTACCTGACATCTGCTACAAGCACAACACATCACAGTCATGATTTCGGAAGGGCGTCGGGAATGATTTATTGGTAGTGGATGGACCAGCCACAGGTGGATCTGCCACTTCAGCAAGGAGGAACCAGGGGATGTGGCAATCAGTGGCTTGCTCTTCAAAGCCTTGGCCAGGAGTGGTGTTCATAACCCTGATGAGGCTGAAGAAGGAGAGCAACAGACTGCAGACCCTGCACTTTAGGAGAACAGGGTTTAGGTTATTCAAGAAACTGGAAGGTGGCATCCACTGGGCAGCAGCTCTGAAGCAGCTCAGGAGAGCACAAGGATGGTCTGTGCTAATACTGAGGAAAACAGATAGGATTTTCAGCTATGGGAATGCAAAACTTGTGCACTCTGAGGAAAAGGAGTGGCTAAATGGAAAATTAAGTTAAGGTCGGGGTTATCGTAAGATCTGTATTGCTTGGTAAATTCATTCCATTCAAATGTAGGCACAAGTAGAGTCACTCAAAAATACAGTGAGCAGGTCACACCTGCAGAGATGAGCTGTGTTATGGAGAGCAGTGACTGAATTTACAACAAAAATTAGTTTCCAGTCCAATGTTACAGCATAGATAAATAGGGGAGTCTTTGGCTGTATAACCAGGGATGTGGCAAGCAGCAAGAGACGTTGTTTTGTCTCTGCATATGGCATTGGTGAGATTCTTGTGGTAATTCTGCACCAGCATCTGGTCTCCTTCTTGTCGAAAGAATGCTGAGAGGTTGTTTGAGGCCAGAGAAAATTCTTGATGTGGGGAGACTTAAAGGACACGATCTGCCTGCCTGCCTTATCAAAAAGAAGACTGGGAGGTGACCACAGAGATCTTTAATCTTGCACAGCAAGAGGTGTAACAAGAAAGAAAAAAAAAATCTGTAAACTCAAGCAAATTAGAATTAGAAATTACACACTTTTTAAGAGTGGATTGTGACATTAATGGTTGGGATATGCTGCTGAGAGAACTGCTGCTTTCAGCATCTCCTAAGGGTTTCAGCTGAAGAATAGGTGCTTTTCTCACAGAAATGTATTAGTTGAGTAGATAGAATTAGTTCCCTGCCCTTAAAATCTATCCTACTACATGGTGGTTGTTGTTATTATATAATATTCAAATTACCATGGCACCTGGAGACACAACTCAGAGGCCAGAGCTCTTTATCAGTCCTTGTATAAGACATAGAGAGAAAATCTGTTCAATCCTCTGAAGAATTTACAATCCAAATATATAGAGGAGCAAAGAGAAAACATGGCAGGTACGAACTGCTGCTGCTCACCCCGTGCCTCTCCTTGTTTCGTAATCTCATGGCTTGGCAGGAGCCCAGCTTACTCTGGGGTGTGTGTGTAGGTTGGCTTGAAAAACTGAAAAGTAGGCATGGTACACAGGTATGTTTGTTCCCGTATCGTCTATCTGCAACTGCAGGTGGTTCTGCCGAGGCTGGGGCACGTCAGGTTTTTGTTCCTGTTGGCTGACGGCAGGATTGGTCCCACGAATCTGCTCGCCCTGTCTGCTAACCAGTCAAACCACCGAGCAGCCAGACTGTGGCTGCAGTGTCTGAATGCAGACGTATTGTGTCTGTTGTCAGAGCAGTGTGTATTATGACCACAGGATCATAACCTAACAGGACCATAGGATAATTCGGGTTGGAAGGGACCTCTGGAGGTCTCTCATCCAACCTCCTGCTCACAGCAGTCAGCTCTGAGGCCAGAAAAGCTTGCTTTCTGTATAAACCTCTTTACTTGTTCTGGAAACGTAATTTTAGATCCAGACATGATAGCATGGAGTTCTAGTCCTTGCAAAAAGATCATCTAAATTCACCGTCTGGATTTTTACTGACACATAACCCAGTGAAGGTCATCCACCATCCTCGTGGCAGAGTAAGCAGCCCTGCTCTGGCAATACACCTTACCTTGTGGGCAACAGGTGTTACAGGGTTTGTGCTACGAGGTAGTAGAGTGAGACATGAAAGAAATTTTTCCTCAACTTTTATGTCACGAGTCCAAGAAAACCTGAAGCTGAATGCAAATCATGCAGAACTGGAATCTTAACCCATTATGTGAGTGAAATTGGATCCTTCTTGGGAACAGCAGAGACAAACAAGAAATATATTTTAAAAGTCGTATCAAAATATCTCGTATTCACCGACAGAAAGTTAAATTCTGGATTAGTAGACTAATCTTTGTAAACTATGTTGGTACATTTTCAAAAATACTTATTTTCAGAGCAGCTGAATGTGCTCTTTGGGAGCCGTGACTGAGGGGTGATGGCTGGCCAAGTGAATATGGGAGGATCCAGGCAAATAGTTAAAACAGGTGAGGTGATACATTTTATTCACAGTTTCAAAAG